TTTTAGTGTGGTGAAACCTATCTGTGGGTGGGTGTCATTATAACCATTGATTTTAGTGTGGTGAAACCTATCTGTTGTCATTGCAACCATTGATTTTAGTGGGGTGAAACCTGTCTCTGTGAGTGTCATTATAACCAGGTTTTTTATTGTGTTAAAACCTGTCTGTGGGTGTCGTCATAACCAGGTATTTTATTGTTGTTAAACTTGTCTCTGTGGGTGTAAAATACCTGGTTATAATGGTTGTGGTGAAACCTGTCTCTGTGAGTGTCATTATAACTAGGTATTTTATTGTGGTGAAACCTGTCTATGTGGGTGTCATTATAACCAGGTATTTTATTGTGGTGAAACCTGTCTATGTGGGTGTCATTATAACCAGGTATTTTATTGTGGTGAAACCTGTCTCTGTGGGTGTCATTATAACCAGGGATATAACTTTGAATTTCGGTTGTAAGTTTGTTTCATATGACATAAACCAGAGTTAGTTAGAGATGCCACCGGAGGGCGCCAGGTTGCTCATATAGCCATCAAGTACAGGCATAGCTGTATTATATAATAACTAATATGACACATGGAAATATCACACCTATTAAACAAAACTGGACCAAGAAGATAAAAGAAAATAAGTTATATTTAAGATATTTCAGAAATGGTTAAAACTGCGATAGGTGTTTTGAATATTTTTGAATTCAGGTGATAAACTATTAAGAAAAGTTGGAGTCACTGTTGTATTTTATGTAAAGTTGCTTCTTGAGTTCACGTGTAACTATTTCTGTGTGGGAATATTTCTCTATTTATAGGGAGGTTCATATTTAATCGAAGCCAAGGATGACTCGGAAGATTTCCGGTCGCTGTTGTCAGCTATGCAAGTCCTCGGCTTCACGTCTGAGGAGCAGGACACAATATTCCGGATACTGGCAGCGGTGTTACATATTGGAAATGTGTATTTCCATAGAAAGCAGGTAGGTTGTCTTCAATAATGTATTTCCTTTGTACACTTTCAAGCTGAATGACCGTCATATGATGGGAAATAATGATTAATTTGTTTTCTCAAAATTATATCTAAATAAATGTTTTATGAACATGTTTTCTAATAATTAATTATAATCTAGTAACAATATATGTATGGAGAATAACTATGTATATTTGGTCACGAAGTATTGCTTGATTAGCATTTTGATTTCTGTATATTTTTAACTTGTATTCAAATGTTCTTGATAAATCTTATACATTAAAACATGCGAAAAAAACGATTCTCAAAGACATACTCCTACTTGGTCAACTGTATAATCTCGCAAGTTATTAACTATGATGGTAAAGGCAGTGAATTTCGGGATCTTCTCTTTTTGTTTTTCCTTTGGCTTTGTTTGTTAGCCTGATGAACTGAAAACCGCGCTTTAATTTGGGCATTTTCAAAAGTGAAATGTGCTGCGGGTAAAGCATGCGGATTATTAGAGTTGTAACCCTTGACAGCCAAGTAAACGTAATTGGAAATTTTAACCAATGGTTATGATTTTATCAAGTATAGGCAACGTGTATACCCGATACGATTTTATTATCAATTTACCCTCAAATCTAATTATGTTCAGAGTAGGCACACTGGACACACACACACACACACACACACACACACACACACACACACACACACACACACACACACACACACACACACACACACAC